TCTGTCAAGTGCCCTATTGAAAGGTCTATGTACACAGTTCAATGATTGACCTCTTGCGGACAAAGTCGTAAACGCGAATAAACGGGGATCATGAACTAGTTTAGAAATGCAAAGGTAAGAACTTACCATCCTTCGATGTTGGATAATTTTTTTTTCTGATAGTGTTCCCTTGCACACCGCCGAAAATGGCGACTACAATTTTTATTCACGATAAGCAGTTTTTTCCTACTGTTCGTGTATAATGAGCATTATGGGCGCGCTAACTGTTGCTCAGTCATGTGCGTGTTTCAAGGTTATTCTTTTTCACATTTTCGCCATCGCCAACGTCCCCTCTGAATGTTCCTTTGGCTTTTGAATTGCCTTGTATATTTTTTGCTTTTCTCCATCACCAACGTCATCGTTGATCGGTGAGTCATTCTGCGGCGGCGCCGATTCGGTGACAATTCGTCAGCACATGTGGACTGTGTTGACGAGCACTCGCAATGATGCGGTCTCGCCAAACGAGAGAGAGAAGGGCGCGTGCGAGCTATTTGTTTGAATCGATTGCGGTTTTTTCTCGAGCCCTTTTGTTCCGATTTTTCTGCCGTTAATTGGAAGCAAAAATTCACTTCCACGTGTATTTACACTTAGCGTTCATTTACAGTAACCGTAATTTTTCATTTTCGTTGGGCTTGCATATTGGACGGGCGCGTTTCATAAGTCCAATGCTGTTTTTTGTGCCCTTGAGTCATTTGTAATTTAATATGTGAGTCTGCACACCATGCGCTGCAACCGACGATCATTCTACTAACAACTCCCAAATAAAACTTTTTCTAGCCAAACATACTGTAGAAACGTAGGCTACTCAATACATATTCATTCTAGTCAAAAGAGACAAAGAAGAATAGGAATCACGGGAAATGTGCGGATTTCGTTCTTACAACTCGTCAAATAGCGCACATAGTGTGCAGTAGACTGATATGCCAGCTTGTTTACATACTATTGCATGCTTGATTGTGGGTTTGGGTAATCGATTTTACATCCTCTTCCTAAACGTTTGCGATGACCAAAACCAATCAAAACCTGTCTGGTTTTGCTTGTAATGGCCTGTCACGCGTACTCAACCGTGTCGCTTTTGGTTTACTCTAGAACTTCCCTGAATGTAACAAAACCATCACCATTCCTTCGAATCTTTCTTACAAAAACGTATTCTAAAGAAATACCTCTCATTGAAGGCATAATACTTCTAAGATTATGGTCGTGGAATACGCTTCACTTTCACTTATATTTTTATCATATTGATATGCAAGTAATTATTAAGCTGTCCTCCCAAACCTCATTAATTCCCTAATTTATTTCGCTCACACTTGATGAGTGCCAACTGCTGCTTGGGACTTGAGACTTTGCATGATGGTACTATAGGAAAACTACCGAAATTAGAAATGTTCTCAAAGCTAGATAAACAGGTCTACCTTCCCGGCAAACTGCTATCCCTTTATGCACCTTAATGCTGACTTCGGTGAGTCTGTAAATCGTAGGTAGGGCAAACCAGTTTCGATGGGAAGCGAAGGCATGTCGATAATTGAATCATTCTTTTTAAGTAACTCACTTTGTCATTCTCGAAAGTTTCTGAATGGCTTTGTTAATTTTGGGTTGGTTTCGTTTGATTAGCAAAACTTTTCCTTTTTTGTTATAGGATTTTTCAGACTTATTTCCTAAGATTGTGTTCATACTGATCCGGAAGTTCGGGAACAGCAGCACAGCGCTTAGTTCGAGTGTTGTGCTGGAACTGTTCCCGAACTTTCGAATGAGTATGAACGCAGCCTAGCGCGCTGTTGAAGAGTGTCCGTCCGCTCTGATACGAAAACGCTTTAAATTAATAGCCCTTGTTATTCGCCGAATCTGCTCGACGTCACTTATAAAGGGAACTATTTATTCTTCAGTCTGTTTTAGGCTGTTCTCAAATAGACCATAGACCCACCAGTGACTAAATCCGTTTTTGCACCATTAGACGGGTCCGCTGTGACTTGCGCCGCGAATAAAATTGAGTCATGCGGGTGTGAGCATCGATGTAGAAAATTCTGCGTGATTGAGCTGGTTTCACAAGACTTAGCTTGGTAGGCAATCTCAAATTTTTCGTCATTATCGATCCATAAGTCATGGGAACATTCGATTTTTATCGAAACAAGCTGTTAAAAACGTCTGTGGATGTTGTTCACTTTGTGATGTTTTATCTCACGTTTTAACTGTAAAACACTCTTCCAAAGCAGTAGCCAGAGAATCGAATATTCTCATGAGTTATGAATGGTTTTTTGCAGATGTTAATCAGCGTATGGAGTTTCGTGAGGTGTTATTGGTGTGATTCATATCAATATGAACACTCAATTCCACTAATCTGCACAGTACTGCATAATCAATCATCGTAAACCGAAAAACAAATTCTTTTGTCTCGCTTACATCAAGATTCGTCCTCGGCGTAAAGTGTGGCAGTTTTAGCAGGCTGCACTACCGCAATAATCTTTAGTGCACTGATGGGACGAAAAAAGCCCGGCTAGCAGCTAGTCGCTCACTCGTTCCTCCTTATTCAATGCATTTCAAGTTTGGTACTGGTCTTATTGAGAGGATGAAATGGTGCTTGAGATATGTTCTGCGGTTGGCGACGTATCGTAAAACCTGCGGGAGGTTTTCCTCTGTGTCTGCAATTTTTTTTTCTCATCGTGCATTGCAGACGATGTTGTGCTATGGAGATTCATAGGCTTTTGCGATTTTATTGCCTTCGATCTTAGGACATGCATGCGATGCGTTGAAGAATGGACGAGTTGCGTGCAAGTCTGTGCCATGTTTGGAGTTAGTGCCGCATTTTGAATAGAAATGAGGTTTTGTTCGTAAACAAACTCTTGTCTAAATATTGATCGAGCTTTTTCTTTCTGTAAACCTTCTATAATGTACAACGACTAATTAATCGTTTCGGTTATTGCAAATTTGTGAAAATGTCCGCAGCGGTCGCTTCTAAATCCCTGCGTACTTTTTTTCTGAATTTTTTGCGACTCAAAGGCGTCGGAAGCGCGCCTGCAGCGAACTCGATTGTCTGCATCCCAGTAAAAATAAACTGAAAATAAACTGTTGCAAGACTCTGTAGGCTCGTTTATTATTTATTTCATAACAGCGGGAGTTACAGCATTGTTTACTTCTGGTTTTTAGGCCGTCTCGATGGATCAAAAAAGTTTCCAACTAAAATTCTTTGTAGTTTTGCAGCCGATTTGATTTGATCGTCTGCGTCTTTTTCGTTGATTTTCATCCTTAACTTGTTTTCAATGGTGTCCCTTATCTTTATCATCATTCTTCTGAGTTCTGATTCGCGCTAATCTTCGCTGTCAGGAGTTATTAGTTAGGATGTTTTGCCTTTGTGACGTGACATTTTTGTTTTCCAGAATGGATAGTTTCAGTCTTGTCGAGAGCATTCTATTTGAGATGGTCCAAGCTTTATGTTCATTTTTATAGACGATTAAGAACATTATTAATGCGTATGTGCTAGGGTTAGTGCGCCACGTGATTGAAGGTGACCGCGATTTATATGCTTTTTCTGGTTGCGGCTGTCTAAAACTTGAAGAGGATTTCGTAAGATTCTGTAGTAAAGTGGTCGATTGACTTTCAGTCGTCCTTCACTCATCTATCTCTTGAAGTAGATCTGTTGTGAGTCTCATAAGTGAATTTCTCCGGCGAAAAGAAAAAAAGCGCCGATGTCCGAGGTGATTTTTATTTACTCGCCCTTACACGCTGCACTTGACTGATGTGGTCTTTGAAGCGAAAAAACGAGACGAACGAGGGATATTCGTGGTGAATGTTGGCCTTCGGAATAGGCGTCTCTCTCTGGCTGGCTCGTTGTCTCTCACACTTTGTATGACGCGAAATCGATCAGACGACGGTTTTCGCCCTCTGCTCGTTCTGTTCAACTTTGCTTCGTCTGGCGATTGCGAATTAGGAATTGTATGGTTGCAGCGATTTGCCCATCTAGTGAACTAGTCCTTTTTAGCTCAATGTTTTAGTGTTGATTAAGGACGTCTGATGTTTCTTCTTCTGTTCGCTTAGCGCAATGATCAATGTCACTTGGCGTGCTGACATTTGCTTGCGAATTAATGTTTCCGCCATCTTCATGCATTTTAATGAGATCCTCAACAAATCTTCTGCCAGGCATATAGACTCATTCAACGCCGCAAAATTCTCCTAAACATTCATTCTTTTGATTATTATTCATTGCTTATCATCGCGCCCACTAAATGACGTAGACGTTGAAACTTTCCTCTGATCATCATCTTATCAGCATAATTTTTGTAAACCATTATTTTCAAAAAAGTGTCCAATAGGGCAAGAAGAAAATTTATTGTGTTTACACAACGCTGAATTCGTTGATCAACGCAAACTTTGCAAATGTTGTGATCTCCAAAGTTCTGTTAACTTCAGTGCTTTTTATCCAGCCCACCAATAATTTGCTTTCTCATTTGGTTAATCCTAGGATCCAACAATAATTATTAGTTCTTGTATAACAGAATTTACGATCCTATGGGCTACACGATGTAATTTGCTCAGATTTTTCGAACTTTTTCTCTTCAATTGATGGCTTAACCAAAACTTCTTCCAGCGGTAATGCGCATTCTGCCGATTTGTAATTTTAGCTTTGCTCAGCCTATCCTCACTCTCGCAGTCTTTTACTAGAAGGAATAGGTTTTGTCCCTTCACAGCGCAGAGTGCATTTGTAATAATTGACGCACAGCCGCACCCTTGACTTTCTCGTTTTCATTCGTAGTAAATAAGAACATCATCTTCCAGCCGTGTGGTAACATCCCTCAGAAATTTCGGCAATCTTTCTTCTACTTTATTCTTGCTGCATGCCTTGCCACTCGCTTACTTCTCAGAAACAGCTGTCTTTAGAGACAAATCGCCCATACATATCGTTTATAAGTGAAACATCGATGACTACTGAGGTCGGCCAATTTATTTTTCTAATTCGTACATCTTTGCAGAGGACTTCGGGGAACAGAAGAAAAAGCCAAGAAGCATGTTCAGTTGGCTAGGAGGTGACTCTTCTAAAAAGAAGCAGAAAGATGTGGGTTTGGTAGGCGCTTGTTGCTTCTCTAACACTGTCCGTCTGCTTTGCTAACAAAAATCAGACTTTTCGAATACTAGTCAATTTTTTGCTGAGTTTTGCAGGTCCTAGACTCGGTCAGTGAGGGACTTCGGAAAATCTACAAGCAAAAGCTGTATCCACTCGAGGAATATTACAAATTCCATGAATTTCACTCACCAGCGTTAGGTTAGTATCTATCATCGAAGCCCTAATTTATGTGCTTTGAATTACTGGAAGAAGTTGGAGATGGAATTTTGATTGTGACCGTGTATGTCTGCAGATGATCCCGATTTCGACGCCAAGCCGATGATCCTTCTGGTCGGGCAGTACTCAACTGGTAAAACAACGTTCATCAGATATCTGCTTGAACAAGTAAGCTACCTTGCTCTAATCATATTTGGCTTCCCTTTCTTTACTTTATACTCAGAGGAGCAGTCCCTTTCCTCTCTGTAAATGCGTTGTTTTAGGATTTTCCTGGAATTCGTATCGGTCCAGAACCTACGACCGATCGATTCATTGCGGTTATGCATGGGGAAGAAGAAGGCGTCGTACCGGGAAATGCGCTCGTCGTCGATGCAAAGAAGCAGTTCAGAGCACTGAGCGGGTATGTCCACTCAATTTCTTTATTTTTAGGAAATCATTTTTTTTTCTAGCACTATTTTGAGTCAGTATGAGTCATCGCAGAGAATGATGTGTGAAAACCAAGTTGTGAAAGAAAATCGTTGTAAATTAGTCATTATCTCCTTCTCCTTGGCCATTTGATCGAGTAGTGACGTCTTTTACCAAACGGTCTCCCTCAATATTGCGAATGTTCAAGTGTTATATATTTTTTGCGCTTGGTAGCATTGAAAAGTGAGGTATCGCATATTGTTAAAATAATTTTTCTAGCACTATTTTGATTTCTTCTTGGACATGAATGTCGCCCATTCTCATTGGGCCATTTGTCACGGTGTTAGCGTAGCTATAGTATGCGGATGGGACGTACGATTTTTGTGTAAACCGCGCGAACGATTCTGTAAATTGTGGAGGGTCCAGATGAGTCGATGTAGGGGTCCAGATGAGTAACGATATAAGGTTGCAGTAATGCTTTATATTTTTATGTGGTTATGGTTTCATCGAATCTTAGCGGAATACCTTTGCCTTTATAGCTGTTTTGCCACTCAAAAAAAAAAAAGAGAATTTTTTCAGGTTTGGCAACGCCTTTCTGAACCGTTTCCAGTGCTCAACGCTAAATAACCAAGTCCTCGAGAGCGTAACCATAGTGGACACACCTGGTATACTTTCTGGAGAGAAGCAAAGGTGAGCAAATTGTTAAATGACCATAAGGGAGATTTCCCGGCGTGATTGGGGGAGAATTCAGAGACCCTGACTACTACACGTGTGTTTCTTGATTCTTTTCACGTAACTTTTTCTCTTCAAATATGATTTCTGAAAAGTAGTAGGAATCAGTTGTATACAATGGGTTTGCATCTTTTCTCTCACTAATCTGCTACGACTGCAAGAGATGCTTCTCTTTTATTAAGTTTTTTTCTTTGCTATATTTGGTTGTGATTTTTTTTTCTTCGAAAGCTTTTGCGCAGTGCAGTCAGTACGCATGTCACCTTCCCTTTGCTTCTCATTGTGTGCACTGGTTCCTCTTGTATAGTGGCATAGTTTCGATCCTATCTTTCATAGTCTATCGATATATAGGATCTGTCATGTTTCGTTTTTTAAGTCCCGACACACCGAAGTCACCGTACTCTCGGCGATATATTCGCGGGTAAAGTGCAGTGTGTTAGCGATACAATTTTTACTGCTTCGTTTTTTCCATTTTGTTTCGGCTAATTCTACCCTCTTCTAGTGTCGGATTCCAATTGTATGTCCATTTTTATTCCTTGTTAAATTTAGATAGGGCTGTGCTATCCTAACATGAAGTGCCCCCTATACAACGTATGTACGGTCATATAGTTGAACATGTCCATCGATGTGCATGTCTTACTGCAGCTGTTCAAAATGTGTTGCTTTGTGGTGCTTTAAATACTTAGGATTATTTAGTTGGAACTGTTATTTCAGAATTGATCGAGGCTATGACTTCACTGGAGTTCTGGAGTGGTTTGCAGAACGTGTCGATCGTATCATCCTCCTGTTTGATGCACATAAACTGGATATCTCCGACGAGTTCAAACGCTGTATCGAAGCACTCAGCGGTAAGTTATGTTCTTGATTTTTTGATACTGCTGGTTTCTCTTTTTTTAACGCCCTTTACTTCATCCGATTTTTAATTAGATATGTCACATTTGGTGATGCTGTCGTCAGCCTATAGCTAAAACATCAGGTATATATCTGTATTCCTCCAGGGTATCTCATTTTGAATACTCTTGTAATTTTCTCGTATAGTATTCGATGAAGTTGAGACACAGTCTTCGAGTGAATATCATCTTCCTACTCTACCATTTTACTTAGCACTTGATAATTTGATATCAGGATGATTGCGAAATATTGAATGTTTCTCGTTTAGGAAATGAAGATAAAATCCGCATTGTTCTCAATAAATCCGACATGGTCGACCATCAGCAATTGATGCGTGTATACGGTGCCTTAATGTGGTCTCTAGGAAAAGTTTTCAAGACTCCTGAAGTTTCACGAGTTTATATCGGAACCTTCTGGGATCATCCACTTCACTATGATATTAACAGGTTGGTAAAGTTCGATTATAGGGTGCACTCAGTCCTTTGGTTTTACATTTTTCTTCAAGAGCGTATGGTTGGAGTAAATTTTTCGTTTTAGACGCTTGTTCCAAGACGAACAGCATGATTTATTCCAAGACCTCCAAGCGCTGCCACGTAATGCAGCCCTTCGTAAACTAAACGACCTCATTAAACGAGCACGCCTCGCGAAGGTACGTTTATGTTGTTAGCGGTTTACTTTTTTGTGCATCTATGCTTGCGAGATGTTTTCTGTAAAAGTGTGCAGAAGTATCTCAAAGAGAGGGGTGCAGAATCTTCTTAAAGGCAGTGTCCCGGCAGATTCGCGCCCTGGGGGATATTGCTATGATGGGGTTCCTGGTCATCCCACTGACTTTCAGACGCATCCGACTGGTTGATGTTTTCCCTGAGCCGAGAAAATAGCCCTTGAACCGGCCAGCGCTCGGACGACCTTGCTTACCGTTCGGGGACCCCACGACCGCTCTACCGCATTGTGCATGCTATTCAAAGCAAAAATTGCAGGCAGCAAGGTCTTCGTGCCAGGGCCTCCCAACTTTCCATTGAAATTCTCGTCCGAGCCGCCTTTTGGAGATTGGGTAAACGCCCCGAAAAAGGTCTTTTCACCGGTTGACAGCTCAAATCGGAATCTACCGGTCGAACAGGCCGAAAACATGCAAAAAGATGGAAGTGCAAAATCTGCCGGGACACTGCCTTTAATGAAGCGGCACTGCCTCATTTAAACGGTCGGACTTTTTTAGGAGTCATATCATATAACACTAACATTTTGAAGAAGGAAAAACGAAATCGATTCAAACATCTGCGTCCAAAAACAAGTGCTGCCGAGTCTACACCACACGGACTGGGCGCTGCGGAGCACGAGGCGCGTAGTTTAAATGCTTGTTAGTGCGAATGTTCTAGTAATGGTTGAGCTGTGCGTCGCTTTTCTACTTATGGTTAAACCGTCGCGTGCTCCGCAATGACGCCCAGTCTATGCGGTCGTCGACTCGACAGTAACTTGCATATTACAGAACGCAAGACTAGTTAGGGCCGACATCTACATCATTCCATTCCAGGTCCATGCCTTCATCATTTCTGAGTTACGTAAACAAATGCCTAGTATGATCGGTAAAGACAAGAAGAAGAAGGAGCTAATCCAAAATCTGGATAAAATCTTCGAACAACTACAAAGAGAGCACAATATCTCACCAGGAGACTTCCCTGACGTAAACAAAATGCGAGACAAACTGGCTAATCACGACTTCACGCGATTTAACCCATTGAAACCGAAACTTCTTGAAGTAGTTGATGGAATGCTAGCTACGGATATTGGTAAGTGCGGCTTTTTATTTTGTGGAAGAGTGATTCTGACCATAATAACGCGATTTGTCTTTTCAAGCTCGACTCATGGCTCAAATTCCAAAGGAAGAAGCTCAGCTTACAACAATAGCAGCGACAAACGGACACATCGATGGTCAACCATCCGTCAAAGGAGGTGCCTTCACTCAAGCTCAAGAAGCCGAAACTCCATTCGGATTCGGACGTGTCAGTTTTCTCAGTGTTTTTCTTCCTCATCAATACATGTCTTCCCTTTGCGTCTTTCATGGAATTGTGTTTTAGGGCGAAGGTTTCGACAAGGGTGCAGATGAACCAGAATGGATTGTTAGCCGTGAACGAAGTCAAGCTGATGCTACATTTGAGAGCCTTGGACCAATTGACGGATACCTCAGCGGTAAGGTTCACCTTCTTGTACGAATTCCTTCCATGATTATGTTTTTAAGGTCACATTCCACTAGCATTTTTGTTCTGAAAGTTCTGGTCAGATCTGAGAAATTTCTTTAAGTCTGTTTTTATAACTTGTTCCATTGCGCCAGCTGGCATAGCCTGGATCTTAAGGCTAAGCATGTGCAGAAAAACCACGAATTTTTGGGGCGCATATAATCTATTTTTTTACTATTTGAGGTCGTGCAGCCAAAGAACACATGGTCAAATCAAAACTGCCCAATGCAGTGCTTGGTAAGATTTGGAAGTTGGCAGATGTGGACAGAGACGGTCAACTGGATGCAGACGAATTCGCCCTCGCTAACTATCTGATTAACTTGAAATTGGAAGGTTGGTGTTTTTTTTTCGAAACGAACGTTTTTTTTCTTGTCTAGATTTCTGAGCTATGAATCAACTTTCAGGACATGAATTACCGACCGAGTTGCCGAAACATCTTGTTCCACCATCTAAACGCGATATGGAACCTGTCTATCCAAAATTAGACGATGAATAAGTTGTACAGAGAGTGTTGCCTGCGGAGCTAGTCAAGCCGTTAAAGTTGTTCATTCATGGAGATATAATACATGTGATGCTGAAGTTCAGTTATGTTGTGCATAAGAGAGGCAATTCGATTCACTTGTTTCCTTTGCGCCTGTAGATATAGTTAGCTTTGATTCTTTTAGGAAACACCAAATAATATATTTGAACAAAAGACTGCTTTTACTAGAGTTAGGCTACGCTGGTCTTCGCTTAGCTGTAGGGTCATCATGATGCCTTTTGCCTAATTACCTGTATGTGTACAATCGCTGATTTTGAGGCGTAGATATGATTCATCTCGCTCCTTTCTCTTGATTTATCGCAATCAAATTACTCAAATTCTTACTTCTTTTGCAGATGATCGTGTCGGATTTGAAACTATTCTTACTTTCATTTCGAATTTGGGCATGTGTGTTCTATGTCGCGATTAATTGTGATATTATCTCTCCCTGTGCTTTTCCACGATTTTCTTCTAGACAAAGAAGTTTCTGTCATTCACAGGTTTTTTATGCTATTCATTCTCAAAATCTTAATTCTTCGACTGATTTGTGTTTTATTTTTTCTGTGAAGAAGTAAAGGTTGTTCTAGTTTTCGTCAGCTCAGCTTAGTTTGTTGTAGATTTTGCAGAATTATGTATTTGCACACCCCAAGTGAACTTAGGTGGGAAGCGTAACGAACCCCATTTCTTAGTTTTCTCAAGGAACATTGACGACTCATTTGTTAGTTTTGTCAGTTTTGTCAGTAGCAATCGAAACCCTTTCGCTATTCCACTTGATACACAACCATAAATTTCAAATCACGGATTTAGCTGAAACTCAACCTAGCAGGTTAATTGACTTGCTGATCACGAAAATGAAATTCATTTCGCTTGGTGGGCACCTTCCGAGAAGTTATGCCGGCATACGGTATGGGCCGAAATTGCACACCTTACTGAAAATTTGCTCAGAGAGGTTATGCGGCATGCTGATTACAAATTCGTACTCTTCTTGCGTTCTGTTTTCTTTTTGCAGAGTTACAGTATGGATATGATAAGAGGTCAAGATCGTTGGTCTGCTTGAAACCTTGTGCAGGTGATCATCTGTTGAGCTTATTACGATTATCGCGCTCGTTTCGCCAAGCTTCTTCGTAGATTTATGTGATTGAAAGTTTTTGATTTATACCTTGAAAATCACCATGACCCCACAACAAAACTAGCATTATATTCAAATCAGCACCTCTTTTGGCTTTTTTTCAAATTCGGAGTATCAAATCTTCAAAGGTATATTCATAGTATGCAATGACTATGTTTTGGTCTGCCTGAACTGAAAGCAAATAAAGGCACTAAGATTGGAAGTGAATATAAGGCCCAACCAAATAAGATGAAGCATGATAACCAAATGACGCTTGAGTCGAGAACGAAAGGAGGTCGCCAGCTGCGGCGTCCCCCTTACTTTTTACTTGATTCTTGGCGCAGCTGCAGCCGTACACAGAAAGGGCTTGCCGCGCATTCAGCTTCCAAAGGCAATCAAAAATGAATCATCAAATCAGGAGTGGTAGTAATTTGGTCGAAACCATCATGTTAACTGTGTTTTCATGACACCAGCTAACCAGCAGCTTCACATCATTTTCCCAACGAAACCACGAATTAACCAATAGGAAACCTCAAATGCTATCTTGCAAAGCAAAGTCATTGGAGAAGATCGAAACTCCAACCATTCTCATGCTTGTCGGCAATCATTGCACTTTACCAAATTTGCAGTTCGGTCTCCAGCCTTGCACCTTCCTATAACCTTATCTAAGCTGTAAACAAGTAAGCTTTCTCATAGTAAGTTGCAGAATGATCTTCCTCACTCTTCTTAACTTGCAAAACCAACACATCATTGTTTTAAACGAAAAAGTGGTCGGGGGTACTTTTTCATTTTAAACTATGATGTGGTGGTTTCACGTCTGCGTCTCATGAAATGAAGTGCTGTTTTCATTACTCTATCTGATAAGGGAACAATGGTGTTAACCTGCTGTTTAACTCATGGTTTGGTTTAGAATGAAACAAGCATGAAACAGTTATGGTTTTCTGCTAGTTACTTGCTTGTTTCATGATTTTGTATGACCGATTGAACTGAGTGGCCGTGAGAAGATGATCATGCTTACCACGATGTAACCATGATTGAACTATCACATCATTTGTTGGTTTCGACCAAATTACTACCACTCCAGAAAATATAGAAACATATAGACATTGTCGGTCGAGTTTTTCGACAGCCACGCCTCCTTTCTCCAAAATTTTGGGGTTATGCGCTCGCGAAAATTTTGAGAAGCATAACGAAATTTTTTTGGGTGTTTTTTCTTTATTCTGATGTCCCCCCCCCCCTTCCCCGAACGGAAATTCTGGGTACGCCACTGCTTAATGGCTATGGGCAATGGGCACAGACAGACAGGCACACACATTTTCTGTTCTATCCTATTATAATAACGCGCTAAGAATGTTTACGTGTTTTAGTGTGTTGTCTGTGTGAATGTCTGTGTGTCACGAAATTCATAGCGTGAGTTCCAGCCAACCCCCTGAGCTCAAATTTTGCACAGCGCATGCTACCAGCATGAAAGTCCAACACGCAACAGCACGAGCAGATTCGTTGAGTGGATCCTTCAGAAACTACGCGTCAAACGGACCCACTTTGCATTGGGTCCGTAATTCCACTTTTTGTAGAGTCGTGGATGTTTATGCCAAGTAAATGTGCAAGCCATGAACTTAGGCCCAAAAAAGTGATCAAAAGTTCATTACTTCACAAAAACGGCGCCAAAAAGTATTGGTTGCCTAAATGGTCAATTTGCCAAGGTTTTACCAGAGCATTTGACAAGATTTTTGCATAAAAATGTAGCTCACGGTAATACTGTTCTTATGGCAACTGTTAAGACCATGGGAAAATCAAAAACCTAGAAAGATTTGCGTTTGTTCTTCTGTAAAATGTCTCAGCCATGCAAAATCACCGATTTCACATGAAAAAGCTTTCGAAATGAGTAGTTGGTCAATTTTGTTCGTGATAGTCGGCATTCTCGGACACTTTTTCCGACGGCCCGCGCGCCCATATTTTCTCACTAAAATACGACTCGTAGTGTTAGATTATTGTCAAACATGTATACAGATATGATGATGGCAGATTTATTATCCAAACAGTTACAAAAACGACATAACACAGAATCAAAAGCAGAACTCAACAGACAACAACTAGAATATCGTCAATACCTTTTACGCTTTGCACCCTGTTGAAAACACGTAAAGCAAAACAGGCTGATACTGAGAAAGCACTGTTAGGCACCGGTAAGAATGACCTGTTTGAGCAATAGAAACCGGAATCCTGTCAGAATCATGAACACTGAGGCAGTGAACACGGAGATCTTGATGAACGCTTGAAGCAAGGTACCATTATATTACGAAAGATGACGCTAAAGACACTGAACAATACTTGACAAGAAAACATAAAAAGAAAAACCCAGACAAATCATTTTTTTTCTGGAGGAGACATTGGAAAGGAAATTAGGCAGATGTTGACAGGCATTAGCTGATGATTGAGTTGCTGCTACGTAATCCTTTGTCTGTTTGTAACTTCAATCTTTGGCTGGTGCGGCACGTTTCTGGCGCTGAAAGGAGTTTCAGATCATTATTTGAGTATGCACAAATTCTCACCTTATTGGCTATCCATTTTCCGGCGCTATTCCAGAATACGCAACCCAAAAAATCAAAGTCTCGGATTTTGCTAAAACTTGGCATACAGGGGTTATTCGACATGATGATCACGAATATGATATTTATTTTGCATGGAAAAACCATTTTTGTGGGGTTACGGTAGGTATACTGTGTGGGGTCAAAATCATAGATTTGGCTGAAACTTGGCCCAGAGGGGTTATTCGATCCGTTGATGCCAAATATCACATTGGTTTTGTGCAGTAGCGTCACTTTCTCGGGTTACGGTGGGTATACGGAACGGGGTCAAAATCAAAAACGGAAAATGTATCTCTCCCCTGTGCTTTGCTTAGGCAAAAGCCGCAGCAGGGTGTGTAGCGTGCTGCGTGGTCATGTGCGCAAAGCTTCACGATCGTCCGAATCGCCGTACACCCGTTTCATGCATACTGTGTTTTTCACCCGTTACCGTGTATCTAGCGTAATCCGAGAAAATGCGCTACGGTTCAAAACCAAAGTGATATTTAGCATCAGTGGGCCGAATAACCCCTCTGGGCCAAGTTTCGGGCAGATCTATGATTTTGACCCCCTACCGTATACCTACCGTAACCCTGCAGGAAGGCGTTTTTCTGCGAAGAAAAGGTGATATTCGTGATCAGCACGTCAGATAACCCCTCTGGGCCAAGTTTGAGAAAAATCCATGACAAAAATTTTGGGGCCCGGATAGCCGCATAGCGGACGCAATACGGACGCTAAGAATGCTACGGAATAGGGAGCACATGGATGACAATGACTGCACAAATGTGAACCAGAAAAAAAAACTTACAAAGAATGGAGACGATTAGCCGACATAACGGAAAGCAACCAACGATGCGATAACAAATGCAACCTCCTACGGCTAACAACGAATTCAAAATGATGCTTACGCGTCTTGTTAAGTAACATGTCCGTTGTTCTTACATATTTGTTTGTGGCGCGCCGCCCGTCGAAGGCAAGGCGCGCCGCTCGCACGGCAGGTTTCGATGGCGCGCCGCCCGTCGGAAACGATGCCACGCCCACAAATCTAGGTGCGCCGCTCGCACGGTAGGCTCATGAAAGCGCGCGGGCCGGAAAAAGTGTCTGAGTTGCTCGGTGAGTACCAATGCCATCGTTATGCGAGAATGAGTAGCGCCTAAATGTAGAGTCAGTGCGAGCCCCTGCGAAGCAGAGGTGACGCACTGGTAAATATATATAGAGGTTGCAATGATGGAATTAGAATTTATTGCAGCCACATTTTCTACGTGCATGAAAATGAGTTTCGGATGCAGCAGTACTCATCGTTTTTTCTAATGGTAAGATTTTGTCTCATACAAAGACTTTGGTTCCTTTAATGAGCATAAGTAACCTTGAACAACAGGTTTATCGTCACTGAGCTCCAGCTTCTGCCCTCTCGCCACATATAATCTTGTTACTCGAAAACTGAGAAAACGCTCAAGCTTGGAATCATAATCGTGCAGATTTACGATCAACATTCATCAATCAGCTTTGTAGATTATTCCTTTTACAAACAGGTCATGCTCAACTTCCATACTTGAGTGTTCGGACGTCAGAAAACTGCTCCTTCAGCATATGACTGATGCATTTTTGCATGCTTGGTCAATGTTAAGCCGTTAGAAAAAAGGAAGTTATCTCGTTTTATGTTATTTGTGCCAGATCCAGGTTAGTACGGTGATATCATTTATTGACCTTACGTTTCGACAAAGTCGTCGTCTTCGGAGGTCTGAAGTAGATTGCAGTTATTTATCTGCGAGATAAGACCGCCAAACGCAATCCCCAAACATCAGTTAGTCTGGATTTCGTCTCGAGGGCAACGTACTGAGTCACACGCTGATGTAGTAGAAACTGACCTACGTTCCACCGCGGTATTAGTGAATCAGTCAGTAGCCGCACAAATTAGAC